CAACACTCAAGCACAAGCTCATAACCCATATTACTATACCTACTCTAACCCACGCACACACTACGCTATGTCCCCAATGCTTCACAAAGTCTTTACCTGCTTCTGGTTCTATGAGAGACTTTAGATATTGGACTCTGGCATCATCGTCCTCGCACCATGACAAAATACCAATAGCTTCTGCCTTGTGAGTAATATTTTTGGTAAAATATGTACGTAAGGTCGTTTTTTCGTCTCTCGTGAGGGCAAGACGCGAAATTTCGGCATACAATTCCATAGCTAGAGAATCTAGGAAACGGGAACCGTTATCCGTGATAATACACCCACTTGCCAAAAGTATTGGTGATTTATGTCGATCAAATAGTAAAACATATTAAAATACTTTTTTCTGAACACCTGTACTTTACGTATTTACTATGTAAGTTGCAATAATTTTATACAATTTTGAAGATAATTGATTCTATTTTTCAAGAAATAATTATAGAACACCAGTTCTATTATCATTTTACAGCTACATAGTCTGCTGAAGTGGCAGTATCCATGGGACATACAGATTTCCATAACATTTCATATGTGTAACATAAATACTGCCACTTCAACAGTCTTTATAGCTGTAAACTGATAATAAAACTGGATCTATTATTATTTGCCTGAAAGTAAAATCAATCATCTTCAAAACCGTATAAAAATTATTGCAGTTTGCATAGTAGTAAATATGCAAAGTACAGGTGTTCAGAAAAAAGTATTTTTAATATGTTTTACTATTTGATCGACATAAATCACCAATACTTTTGGCAAGTGGGTGTAATAACGCCCTCATCATCAATCACAACCATTGGTCGAGATCATGTGCCGGACAGAGAAATTCATGTAACTACTTTTTAAATAAATTTAGTCCAGTTGGTAAAAAATGGTTTATTTTTAAACTCGGGAACCAAAACCACGAATAAAAAATTAATAAATTTATCACTAATGAGTATGAGGAGAAGAAGACCCTTACTATTCAGCCTTGCAGTCCTCCGGGCAACTATCGCTGATTAGTGGCTTAATCCATGACGTAATTTCCTGACCCTATATATGGAAAGTCTGTATTTATACTATTTAAAATAACTTTGGCTGATGTGCCGATCTCAGATAATAATAAACAAACTTAACGCTTTCATACTACTGTAATACTATTTATTCAACACGACTATTAGACTGAATTCACTCTCAAAGTCACTTGTTTAGAATGTTTGCACAGAAGAACTGCGCAGAACGCAAAACCACGGCGTCAACTAGATCCCGTCCATTAGTTGGAATGAGGCCAAGAGAAACTGTTTAGTAAAGGCAATGTGGAAGGAGGGTATTGTTTTGTGCAATATGCTGCTCTGTTACTTGCTCCGCATTGGAGAGCACTTCTATGACTTTTAGGACTGTTTTTCTATCATAGGTTTTATGGATAGTGGAATCGATATAATAAAAATAAAAGGTGGTTTATGTGAAAAAGGAAAACAATACTCCATGAAATTTACTTCACTGCCCGTAAAGCTAGCTATTAATCTGTTGTCACACGAATTGTGGCTAATTGTATTAGTGTGGTAATCGGACCTATTCTTCGTGATTTTAGTAATTACGTTTAGTCTTCAACCAGAATGCACCAGCCGTAAGGGACGAACTGTTGATTTTATCCCACAACTGACAAACGGGTATATGCGCAAAACCAGTTATTATTCCGAAGGTAATGAGGCTTTAAAGCTGTTGCAATTCTGAGAATAGCGTTGGCATTTAACGCTTCGAACGAATCCCCCATCTACATCTACCACGAATTCGCTGGGCAGGAACCAAAACAAATCATAATTTTCAGTAAAGTTCGGACCTTGTTTCTTTCATACAATAATTTTGGGTTGCAAAGCTGTCGAAGACTCTATTAAGTGATTAACCATTACATAGTCGCCGAATGCTCCCTACATGGGATAAATTACTATAATGCGATTGTTTTTGGCCAATTTACTGTATGAAAGTTTACGATCATAACAAGATTCATTCCTATTATAATTTAGCTTGGTCCACCTCCAAACTTCTCCTCATAACCGGGCACTTCCCATTGACCTCGTTTCAGCATTTTCTCTACAGCCACATTGATCTCTGGTTTCGCTCCAACTACATCGGCAACCTGTGGACAGAGAAAATAAGTGAATAAAATAATTCATGATAAAAGATGAGAGACGTAATTGCGATTCGTACCGTGAGATCTTCGAAAGGTCGCGCTTGCTCAATGTTGACAAGCGTTTTTTGTAGATCGTTTAGCTCAGCATCCACCTTTGAAGCAGTTCTTTGGGCTTTAGCGACCTTTACAAAAAAAAGTGTGTCCAATTTGAACAATTAATTTATGCACTTGTCTTTTAGTACAGCATTAATTTCGTAACGTTCAATCTTACCGCTTTCGCTTCAAACTCGTCAATTATTTTTAACTGTTTGGCCAAGTCAATCTTATTTGGCTTGAAGGCCTTCAAATTCTTTTCTGCTTCATTTACGATTGCCGAGTTCTTCAATATTTTTCTATAATGCTCGAAATCTACATCAGTCTTCTGTTCCTTAAGCGTAGCGACAACTCTCTTTGCTTCTTCGTTACGCTTACGAAAAGCAATCAAAGCAGCAACTGTCTCTTTCTGTAAACCCAGGGAGACAGTGAGCTTTGTCCAGTCGAGAGCTGCAACAGCGCGGGAGGTTGACATTTTTTTTTAAAGATGACCAGAGTTGGTCTGATGAGTACGAGGTATTGAATGTGACACGTGATTATCCGAAAGTTTCGATTTCATACTATTTATAATTACTTATACTATGCTGTTAACTTTTTCAAACAACACTTTCATACAAATGGCTACAAGCGACGTTCGAGACATACTCCAGATCAGCAGGCCTGCCCCGGGTGCAGAGGGTACACCGAAGAAATCAACAAAGCCCGAAAAAGAAAAGAAACCTGGTTTGTGTTATTTTGACAAGGTTTGCATAACCTATAGCTAGATCTAGAGTGAGATTGCAGGCAAACGTGACCTTTGAAAGACTGATCCACATTTCGTTATCGAGGAATGTAATCTTTACTTCCTTTAAGAGGTCACTGCTGCCACGTCAAACTCTCACATGTTACTTTTGGAAATAATAAGGTTGACAGTTGTTGAGTAGACTAATAACATTAGCGTATCAATGGGACAGTAATTTTTTTCAATTGATGCCGTAGTTAATATATTTAACATGTATATTTAACAGAGGGTATAAGCCGGGAATTATTCCAACTTATTGGTGGAGCGCCACCTGTTGCATTCACCAAACCAACATACAAGCAGAAGCCTAACCTAAGACAAAAGGCAGCACATTGGTTAGTTCATAAGTGAGGTGCTTTTGAATCTATTATATCGACTGAAATCAATATTACAACAAAGGGAGCTGCGCGAATTCGTTCATCCTGGACGAACTGATCAATTGGCTTTACTTCGATGGACGAAGGATATAAATAATAACATCACTGGTAATGTCTTCACTATAATTGTGTGAGACATATTCTATTTTTTGGACTGCTGACATATCGCAATGCTTTCGCATACCGCGGAGAAGATGATTTGCAGGAATTTCAGAATCTTGAGGTTATACACTATACGGACGAAGAATATCACAAATATCTCCTAGGTAATTGGAATTTTGATATGGTTTATGATCACATTTATTTGCTAATTTCAGCTGTATATCAAAGATCGTGATTGGACAAAGGAAGAGACCGATTATTTATTTGATTTATATAAGCGATATGATGGAAGATTCATGATAATATATGACAGATACGACTTTCCCGGAAAGAGAAGAACAATGGAGGTAGTACTCGAATTTCAAAATTTATCTAAAATGTTTCGCACTGTAAAGCACTTCAAGCATTTTGAACTAATCGAACTATTATCAACAAAAGGATCTAAAGGATCGGTTTTATTTCGTACAGCGTAAAATAATACAACAACGGCCTGGACAGGATAAAGCCGAAATCGCAAAGTACAATTACGATAAAAGTATGTATCTATTTCCATAATTTCTGATTTCTGCTTATCACAGTAAATTTATTCAATTATATCATTTAGATAGAGAAGTAGACAGGAAGAGAAATCTATGCATGTTATTCACTCGGACGTCCGAACAAATAAAAGTACGTAATAGTTACACATTATGAATATTTCGCGTGAGTTAAGCATAACTGAAGTTTAAATGATCTCTAGGAAGAGGAAGCTTTGTTAGAAGAGTACGAACGCATAGAACAAAATGAGAAGAAATTCGCCAAAGAACGCGAGGTTCTAATAAAATCACTTGCATTCCAGGACATATCAACAACAGTGGTAATTTCGATCAAATTTATTTGTTCTGTCAGCTCGTATATACACCATGGCACTGTCATGTGTATGTATGTATACTCTAACGTTGTCTGATTACAATGATGACTAGAAACGAAAACGATCAATGACGAACGGTTCATCCACACCCGCAACTGAAATAGTTACGCCAGTGCTTTCAGTGTCAGCTTCGGAATCATTACCCAAGAAGAGTAGAAGAGCATCTGCATCATCGGTTGGGTCGAGTGCTGTTGTTGAGGGTATTTATTTTAAGAGTGTGAATGCATTCTCTTGCATGCGATATAGATAAGATAACTGATACAATGTTTATCATTTATTGAAGCTCATCCACCCGTTGAACATGTGCGACGAGAAAAATTGCCCCCTGGTGTAATTGTTCGTAGTCAAAAGATTCCTCAAGTCAAACAAGGGGCTATTACGAAAGTTACCAAGTATTTACAGGAAGCTGGACTTGGTAAGTAAAACACATTATTATATGGTTAGAATACACCCAAGGATGCAAGATTTAGAACAGCACATAAATCAGGATACCATTTTCTACTCTGCATTTATCCCAACAGGTATTCGGCCGTCAATGCCTACAGAAAATGTGTGCGCCAAATGGATAGAGTTACAAAAGGCAATTGTCAGTCTTCACGATCTAAAACGACACGTTGAAAAACAAGAACATGAACTGAAGACTAAGAAGCAAGTACTCGAAAAAACCAAGGCAGCTGCGGGGGGAAGCAGTAGTAGTCAAAATTGGTAGCTGCTAAACGTTAGCTGTTTTGCATGATAAATACGGACGATTTGCTTCGGAATAAAACTGTGGTGGTCTCGAGCTTGCGCAGTACGACAAATTATGTACAATCACATATCAATATTGTGTGTACCAACATATAATAAACGTGTATCAGAGCTCAATATGATCGACCGTGACGAGATGTACTGTAAATCAGCTGCAGGAATTTTTGGTGCGTACTGTGCAGAGAGTAGTAAACTGATAAGAATTAGGTCATTCAATACCTCACCGAATGAATTCAGCTTTTATTAGGCGCTGGTAATAGTCACTACAATTACTCTATTGTCACACGACAATGTTGTAATAAAATAAAAGAATACAGCCCATTGCGAGTAAAGAATTTGGTAAAAAAATTAATGATAGGGAAATACTAAAGCATAAAACTTGTAGGATACATTTTAAATGGTACTTTTTTAACATTAACACAGAGAAGAAAAGAAAAAGAAGACAATAAACCTTTTTAGAGAACGCTATTTTAGCCGGGGAGATCCGTTTTCCCCGGCCTTCGATGCTAGACATGACGACAATAAACTTTTTAAAAAATAGGGAAGAAGTTTGATGATATTAATATGAAAAAGTCTATGCTAAAATCAGGGAGTAAAAGATAAAAAAAAAACAACTACAAGAAAAAAGAAAACGTTATCCAAATTAAATTCACTTTTTCATTGTTAGCAAAAACAAAGAAGACTTTGAATATAAATAGTAAAATGTATAGTGAGACGTGTAGCAGACATCCAATGCAAATGGCATTCTCATTTAACGAATGTAATAAAACAAGGGTATACAGGATGTAACGAAAAACTAAATTAATTATAATTACTTGTTTATTAAACATATAACTTTCATTATCTTTTTCTGTTTCGTGTTCAACCTTGCAAAAACATAGTTAGCGCAAGACTTGAAGCTCAACGTCAAGCTATTTTACTTTTGTGGCGAAAATGGTGCCGTTTCAGCAAAGGAAATACAACAACAGAAACTAGCGGAATATCCAAAAGCTCAAAGAAATAGATGTCATTGAACGTAAGCGCGGGCGGGCTATTCCATTGAATGTTACACAAACTTTTGCGCGTTTCTTAGGCCAGCGTGTTTTTCGGAATTCAGCCTTACGACACGACACTGCTCTATTAGCTAAACATTATCAATCTCGCATATGTCTGTATAAAAAAAGGGATATCATAGCTCTCTGCCCCTTGCAACTCCAATGCTAACCAACCGTCATATGGAGACACGAAAAACGTGGCACGAGCTCACTGAAACAAGAATTGGAACAAAACCATAGATGGCCTTCGTTCTCTTTAAGAATAAGGTGTCAAGGTGGCATAAAGATAACAATAGGCCCATCCGACGTCTACCAAAGACACGGCAGAAGACTATGGCGTGGGGTAAAATTTCTTTAAAAGACAAGACACCTTTGTTTGCTTCACAGACATTATGGATGGGCCTTTTTTCATGTGAACATTTTAAAGACCCAACTTATTCCAAGCGTCGCAAAAGAGTTGTATGAAATCGCTGGGAGTTACAACAGAATAATGATCATAAACACACTTCACGTGTTGCAACGGAATTTTACAAAAATTAAATTAGAGTCATGGACTGGCCGTCCAACAGTCCGTGTGGCAATTATAAAAACATATGCCAGAAGACATTCGTGAATTGAAACAATATATGATTGAAGAGTGGGAAAACATTTCAGATCAGTAAAAGATTTAGTATGCTCAATGAAAAATAGATGCAAATTAGTTATAGAAAATAATGGAGATCGAATTTCATAGTAAAATTTATTTGATTGATAAAGTGGACAAAATTTTCTTTTGTGCTTGTCGAGACATACAGTACAACTTTTTGTCTCCGCCATTTTTTTCGTTTACACATTGTATATGATCACCAGCAATGAACACTGTATATTCTCTGTAGATCATTTCATTGTTTTAGTATTACTCTAAGTCCGAGTACGTTATATGTTCATATATTTTGGTTGAGTGAAGTTGGTTACATGATAACCAACATGTCGCAACTTTGTTAGACACGTTGGCTTTAATGCTGATGTTAATTTAATCATAATGTCATGCGATGTGACGTATGAACATTTGATCAAGCAATAATACTACTAGTCACAATAATAATCTTTCGAGACTACACTGTCGATGAAGTGCAGTACCGATGTTACACATATTAACAGCTAATTGATCGACATAAAAATCGTGTAAATCGAGGTTGACTATAAACTTTTTGTTTGTTACACATAAACTAAATTATTTTTAGAAGTTGCATCAAGGTCTACCTGTTGCTCAATTCTTGAAATGAGAATTCCGAAATGAGAACGAAAGTAAAGACCTTTTTCTTGTCCAATTGCACTCAACATAGTCAGTTGTTGCGTAGAACATTCGCCGCATCCAAAGGAAACCCGCTCTTCCACGAGTTCTGGCTTTGCCAGTGTTAGTATTACCGAATTCCATAACAGTTTGAAAACCGGTTATCGAATCTAATCAACAAAAGAAAATGATAATAAAAATGTACAAACACGTTACAATCACTGCCAAACCGTTTATCATTGTAAAAATATTGCATTTGATGTCACTATATAAATGTGTCTAGTCTCAATTATACACACTTTGCCATTGACTTTCTCCCTTGATATCATATATCCGTCTGTATAGTCAGTCACAAGAACTGCACCGGAAAGAAGATATACTCTACCGTGTAGTGTAATTACTTACACATTGACTGTAACAACGACTACTTCAGTACTAAACTTCAATAAGATTAATAGAAATACGCAATACTGGCATAAATTAGTACAAACGACGGCCGACACTAAGAATTAACCTCATCATCAATAAATCACAATGTGTATGGTATTTTGCACTTTGGGCATCAAATTCCCTCTATACAATTGATTCTGCACACATTAAACAAAACGAACATTAATATTAAGCATCAAAAACATGCCGAAGCTGAAATCACCTTCAACCTTTATAATGCATCTCAATTTGATTTCTTCATTTTTTCATCTATCATTGTTCATCTTTCTGTTTGTTTTTCTCCTT